CTTCTCTTACAAAGAAAAACAAAATCCCAATTCAAGATTCGTACTATAAACCCATGTATCCGTCTCGAATTGTCGGTAACTGTGTCTTCTACTTTTATCATCTCGCTAGGGAGTCTAGACCCATAAGCATTTTACCGCTATGTTGATTGGCGTTGTACATACCTTGCTTATAGCATCAAGATTTCGCTACAAGGGACGCCACTGTTGCTGGACTAATTGCACATGTTGATAATTAATGTTTTCTATTTGATCGACAATTTATAATTATCGAGTAAGTTTACTTTAATCAGCATCTTTTTCAGCATTATTCGATACAGGTAGGTGGGTACAATGTCGTGGGCGAATGTCTGACTTTCATCGACAAAAATGATCGATATTCTGGTCGTCATCAATTTTTATTTTGCGGTTAAAGACTTATATTATAAAATTGTACCTAAAACACTAATTATCAACATGTGCAACTAGTCCAGCAACAGTGGCGTCCCTTGTAGAGAAATCTTGATGCTGTAAGCAAGGTACGTCCAACGCCAATCAACATAGCGGAAAAATACTTATGGGTCTAGACTCCCTAGCGAGATGATAAAAGTAGAAGACACAGTTACCGGCAATTCGAGACGGATACATGGGTTTATAGTACGAATCTCGAATTGGGATTTTGTTTTTCTTTGTAAGAGAAGACATTGTCGCCTGCATACGCAAAATGCAGGGATAGCGACAAACATTAAAGGGCTTGACCCCCTAACAAGGTGGTAAAGGTAGAGGATGCAGTTACCGGCTAAATGGGATGAAAACATGAGTTTATAGTACGAATCTCGAACTGTGTTCATTCATTTTGAAGAATAATCTGAAACTAATAACCCTTTTTAATTAAGATTTTCAGATTCTTCATTTTGAGGTTATTTATTCTCAGGTTAATACTGCAGAGGTAGTAAATTGTTGTGTATATTACCGTATATATGATTATGTAAATTATAATATATACGTATTGTTAATTGGTCACTGTACTCGCTGCCGTAATAATAGTAGTTGTTTAAATATTTATTCGTGTATAATTCCCCATCTGCTTACAGTGTATGTATGTATTTGTATTTGAATTGAATTTCTTTTTCATTCGTTATAGAAAACGCCGGTGGCTCTATCTCGTATTTATAGAACAGCTACACATCTCTAGATAATACCATTTATGTAACCCCCGAAAGGCAAATATATATTCCTTCATTTCTCTTTCCAAAACATACAACTGACTCACCCTCCTATCCATACTGTAATCATTTTTAGATTTCCTGTTAGCATACTCGTGCGAACCAAGTTGATATCGTTTTACGACATTCGCAGACGCTCTGGAACGAAATTTCGTGTTCGTTAAAACAGGAAATATAAATGCTTTGCCAGTCATATGCACAGATTGGTGATCATTTTCTGTGTCTTCCATGAGCCATAGGATAAATCTGAATCTCTTCAGAATTGCTTCTTATAATCACACGTTATCTTGTACAATCCTTAATTATAACTATCTATAACAATAAAAATGAAATATTAATATTTCTCAATAATAAACCAAATAATAATTTTTAGAAATAAATTTTTTTACCTTCAAAAATCACTAATTTTCTGCTTAATGATGATATGATAAGGATACCTTACAGATCAACAATAAACTTGACGACGATACTACACTGCAATTGGTCGAATTTAAACCGGTGAAGAAAACTTATGTACGCGGATAAATGGATTAGCGCGTTAAATTGGGTGTCAATGAGACAATAGCGTGTTCAAGTTCAGTAATGAGTCCTACTCTTGTATACCTCCAGGACACAGCTTGATCTATTAACAAGGTTCGATATAGAAATTTTCTTGGTTCTGATTGGTTGACGATTCACTGTTGAGACAGAGTCCACTGCGGATTGGATGCGCAGTAAAATGGTGGGGATGTGGGAGTAAGTCTCACTACTGTAAACCAAAAGTAGCGTTATTTAACCTGACAAACGTTCAAAGTGCAAAGCGTAATGACGGACTCAACTGTAAGCAAAACTACATATCATAACTCATGGTGATAGGTGATAGACTCTAAAACAGGGCTCTGAATTAACTACACATGATAGAGAGAGAGCATTTTCAGAGACTGCTCTGGAATGTGTTGCCGAGTAGCCTCATCCACAATCCCATTTGTGAGATTTCCCTACAGCACATTCAGAGCAGTTTTCAAAAATGCTCTGAATAGGACTGATTTAGCTCTCGCAACTTGCATAAATGGTTTATAATAATATTTTTTGCAACCTGCAACAAACGTTTATTAAATATTTATATTCATGGATTTCACTCGGTTAAGAGAATTATAAGTGAAAAAAGGTCTCTGATTGTAAAATTAATTCTTAGGTCTTGGATTACCTTTATATGCCTCCGTAAAAAGAGGTTTCTTTTGCAGATTTTTTCGTTGCAAATGTTTACACTGTTGCAGGATACGTTGCACATCTGTTACATTCGTTTTTATCCTAAAAACTTCAGCAATACCCTCTGCAGTCATCGAGGCACTTGATGTCACTCTTATAATAGCACATTTATCGCGTGTTGTTAATGCTTTAGGTCGTCCTGGACGTTTCTTTTCCCAATAACTTTGCGAAATAGAATATTTCTTTTTTAATAATATTAAAATTGTTTGTAATTCAGCATCTGTTAGCTTTTTCCTACAACTAATCATATTTTCATAAATATTTGGAGTACATTATACTAAGTGTACTACACTGTGTTTTAAACATTTATTCACTGCCATTTACTCGTGTTCAACTGAGAAATGAAAATATATGTGTGGTATTACAGATTTTGTCGGACTAGTCGGTAATGAAACGTGCAACCGCAACAATTCCAAGAATAGAGGGACAATGTTTACATGTTACAGTCACTCAGATTCACAAGTAAACAACAGCTAAAGAAATATATGAATAGAAATCAACATATTTCTATGCTTTCTCATGAATATGTATTATAAAATGTACAAAGTGTGCTATTCTTTTGCCGTGACCTGTATTTGAAAACTTTGGTTCCAATTCTTCCACACTGAAGCGTTTACCACGTGGATTTGTTGTTGTGTACCGTTACATAGTTACCCATTGTAACTTGAATTGTTGGACGAATGTAGTCACATACAGTCATATACGCGTAACATATTAAAATAAGCTCTTGTATCAATTTTACGAAGAGAAAATATAAAAACCTTTGTAAATAATTAATAACTTAATGTACACGCATTAAAATTAACATACAATAAATTAACTTTTAATAGTTGAAATTTGCGATGTTTCATATTCTGTTATAGTATCTTTTTAAAAGAAGCTAAGAACGAAAATGTACATAATTCATAATTTACGGTAAATGTAGTAGCAAAATTTTGAATTCCTTCAATAAACACTATAAATAAGTAAGGGATATACAAGGTGTTCTATAATTATGTTAATACCCAGAAAGGGGTGATTCCTGAAGTCATTTGAAGTAACTTTTTTCCTTAGCAAAAATGCAATCCGCGGTATTGTTTACGAATTATTAACGAAAAACACTGACCAATGAGAGGCCGATAGCGGGACTTACTCTTGTACGCTTTTCTTATTGTCTAAGCTGGTGCGCGCATCCCCACCATTTTACTGCGCATCCAATCTGCAGTGGATTTTGTCTTAGCAGTGAATCGTCAGTCAATGGGAACAAAGAAAATTTCTATATTAAACCTCGCTAACGGATCAAGCTGCGGCCTGGAGGTGCGCAGGGATAGGATCCATTACTGTAATATAACATTTTTAATTTTCGCGCATTACCTAAATAGTAATAATAAATACTGCAAGATGGTGGTAATATCGCATTAACGAAAATATATATGTGTTGAGTTACATACATGATACACATAATCTTGGTTCACGTCCTAGTTAAAATTTCTGGTGCAACAGCAGGTGTGTCTAATAGGGAATTAGCGGGTAAGAGCAGTGCGCAGTGTCTAGGGTATTTTCGCAAGTGTCGCGTATCGAGCTGCGAATTGGACTTTACCGCCGACATACTATACATACATACATAGATAGAAAATGAATCCGATTGGGTAGCGTGGCACGAAGGCCACATCCGGCAGCAGCACTGCAGTATTGGTCGATCCCGCTTCAGCAACAGCGAAGTTGGTCGAATTTCCTATATATTATTGATAAATAGCTCGCGTTGCTCGTGTGTGACTTGACCAAAATCGACGTCGGTGTTCGTGTGTTCGAAGAGAGAAAGCCTGAAACCGCCGGAACCGTATACACCGCGTATGACCGTATACATACCGACCAGTGCATTGAAGTGACGCAAAACGGTTAGAAGTACATACGCGCGTTTCTCATAACGAGAAATTGGCCGAGGGATTATCGTGCATTGGGTGTGACGGACATTTATATCCGTGCAAGTTGCACGAGAGTCGTGTCGTGTTGCGTAGTGCCAAAGAACGCCCGATTATTCGTGGATCTCACGGGTGTATGTGCGATTATGTCGAGCGCCCCCGAACAGAGGTGAGCGTTATAGGAGGGGAAACTGCCTAAAAGAAGCTGCCTTCAAATCTGTTTTTTGCTCCGCCATTGTACGCCGCACGAAGAGTACTGCGAAGGAAGCCGCTTGCCTTGTTCTCCCGTGTGTTCTCGTTCGATTACATTCTCATTTTTTTTCGGAACCGATCACTGTTCAAGCGTGTAAACGCGCCTACGTCTGCTGCGTTAACGTTCGTCTCGTGGTTGCGCTATTCGTCAGGCGAAACACGTTAGTGTATTCTCTCTCTCTCGCGTGCGCGTTCTCCTATTCTCTCTCTCTCTCTCTCTCTCTCTCTCTCTCTCTCACCCTCACTCTCTTCTGATCCGTCGGTCTCTCTTTTTCTCTCTTTTAATCGTTCGCTCTTCCCTTCTTTCTCTATTTCCCTTTCTCTCTGTGGCTACTCTCGATGTCCTCGACATCTCTGCGGAAGTCGCGTGTGTGAAGGTTTTTCGCGTACGTGGACATCGGCGGCGAAAACGCGGAGTGATTCGTATAGAAGAAAACCATCACCGGGGATACAAATCTTGCGCGTCATTATGCAATAGACGTGCAGCTGACGAGAAAGAACTGTCTCCTCTACTCTCCCGACAACGGGAACAGCGGTAACGATGCGCGGCATGTTTTTATCTTTGTTTTCCGAGACTGTGCCGCGGCGAGGAAACGCTGCCGTTGCCGCTGCTCGCCGCTCATTTGCTTTTCTACATATATTTCGCGACGAGTAATCACGTGGGAATGCGTCAGGCGATGCTAGCGTACCTGTTATTAGTCTCTCTGTTTCATGCATACTCGTCAGTGTTATCTCTAGTGTATTTCAGTGCAACGCTTTCCGTATCGCGGCGTTCAAAAGCGAATCGTGTATCTTCGAACACAGTGCCTGACCAAAATATTCTAACGATGATTTCTAATTTAACTGAATGAAAGTCCTATAATGTTATAGATACTATGAACATTCCCGCATATATTGAGCATAGGGCAAAGGCAAAGACAATATGCATAAGTTTTACTAAAATCAAATATCTTATATACGAGCTTTGAAGGTTTTATTAGATTTAATGCAAATCTTAGATCACAAAAGTGTTTCAACTATTAACACGTTGTATGTAGGTGACTTTTGACAATTTGACTACGAGGGTTTTGAAAAATCACTGCATTTACTAATAAATTTTACATTTTATTTGATCTTCTCCAATTTTTTATCATGAATAGTTTCGTTAACACTATTTGATCACC